GGCAGATGTTCTATAGCTTCGCTTCATATGCAAAAACCTGTTATTCTTTATTTGCATTCAATTAGAAGTCAGACCCCAATGAATATCTAGTGTAGGAAATGGGGAAAAGATTTGCCATCAAGCATATGCTTTGCTTGTAGTGGATCTCAGTAACCTGCTATTGTGTCTTTCTGCAGTGATTTGGTCATTTCTACTGTATTATTTACACCTTCCAGCTCAGGGGTAAAGAGTGTTAATAGGTGACAACTGGAGTTATGTTCCTGATTTTAGAAATGTTCCCTTTTCTCATTCCTTTTGAAAAGCCATTCTGCAGTTGCAAATTTCCCTTACTGAGTAGCTCTGTTTAAGGATTTAAATGCTGTAGCATTTCTTCCATATTAATTTTCCTTTTTTGATCCAGTTGTGCCTTGTTTGATCCTGTGAAGGCTCACCATTCTCCTGGCAATCCTGAGTATAATATGAGGAGCTCAGAAGTTATAAAACTGTTGGGTTGTCAAGAAGGGAAGGTTCAAATGATCACTGTAATATGAAGAAGAGGCAGACTCTTCCAGAACAGCTGCTGTGATTGCTGTGACCCTGTAAGAGCATACATACCAGGGTATTACATACCTAGGGAGAGATGGAAGTTCTATGGAGAGATATCAGAGATATCTGGGATAACTAAAGCAGCTTTTCATCACTGCAGCACAGGGTTTTCCAGCCTTTGGGGGGAAACAACAGGAATCCCATACCTTCCTAAACTGGGATGTGATTAGAAACTTGCTTTCTTACATCCTCCATCCCCTTTCTTCTCTGTGGCCCACTCCCACCACATGTTCTGGAGAACACATGACATTTCTTCCTTTTTCCTCTTTTTTCTTTGCTTTGAGCTAACATTGTAAGTTAAACCATCCTCATCCAAATCCAAGCAATGCATTGACAGAGAAGGAAAACCTTGAGAGTATTTTTAGGTGCTTTGCAAACTTAGACAAACAGATCAATATTACTTCATGCACACCTCAAGTTTGGAATGGTTCTTTGTCTTGCCATTGTGATAATAAAAAAAATTCAAGATATTAAGGGGGGAAAAAAAGGTGCAACTAGATGAAATGATGAAACTAATTCTGTCACAGTTGCCTAATCCTCCTGTTTTCTCTGGGATTTTCTAGCATGGAATAAAATGTAGAGAAACAACCTTTTTTCTGTGCAACAAGATTTAGTGTCTCATCTTGGAATAAAAATATCTGTCAGGGTTTCCTGTGAAGGTAATATGTGTTTCAAATAATTGGGTCAGGTGTCTCTGGACAGTTTCGCCAGAATGAATCATTGTTTTGGTAGCAACAGCCCCTCTGCAGCTGAAAACATTTGTGGTGCTCCTTGGCCTATCTCTTAGTATGTCAAAAGCTATGCAAACATGAGGCTGAGGACACAATGAAGGAGCTTGCAGTCATTTTGGGTGCTGTATGTTAGGGAAGCCTTTGACAGAAATCTGCCAAGAGGCTCTTCAAACCAGAATGCCAGTGCACCACTGCTGTTGGTTGATTTCTGATGCCTGCTTTTGACACATAATGAGGATTTTGGGGTGAAAGGGAATGTGGTTTTTTGTCTTGGTTTTTAAAAGCATGGAGATTCTAGTAACCTGAAGAGGAAAAAAATATAAAACATCCTGATACAGGAAATGAAACCGTGAATCAATGCTGGATAAAAGGGATGGGGGAAGAGCAATGACATTTAGTATTTATTAAGAGCCCAGCTCATTGCAGTGAATAGGGAATCACAGAATGGGTCAGGTTGGCAGGGAACATAGTAGCCCCACCTCCGTGCTCCAGCAGGGCCATCCAGGAGCACATGGCCCAGGATTGTGTCCAGGATTGTTGTGGAATGTCCCCAGTGAGGGAGACTGCACACCCTCTGTGGGCAGCCTGTTCAGTGCTTGGTCACTGCACAGGAAAGTCATTCCTCATGTTCAGGTGGAACTTCCTGGGCATCAGTTCCTGCCTGTGCCTCCTGTTCCATTGCTGAGAGCCTGGTCCGTGCTCTGCCACCTCCCTTTGGGCACTGACAGACAGGGATGAGGTGTCTTCTCTAGGCTGAGCAGGCCCGATTCCCTCAGCCTTTCCTCCTAAGAGGGAAGTCCCTAAATAGAGACAGAATACAGTGAGATTATTGACAGGATCGGATGTGCAGCAGGACTGCCTTGAGCTGCTCCGACTCCACCAGCTCCTAGAACTAAAAAGCACACGAATGTCTGTACCCGGAGCAAAGCTGCGTGTGCTCAGGAGGCCCTTCCCGAGGGGCAGGCGCAGAGCTGCGGGTTCCCCAGATCCCTGAGAGGAGCTGCGGGTTCCCCAGATCCCTGAGAGGAGCTGCGGGTTCCCCAGACCCGTGAGAGGAGCTGCGGGTTCCCCAGACCCGTGAGAAGAGCTGCGGGCTCCCCAGATCCCTGAGAGGAGCTGCGGGCTCTCCCGAGCTGCGGCTGCCGCCAGATGGAGCCGCCGGGCAGCGGGACCTGGGCGCGGAAAAACCGAACCAGCGCCGGGACCCAGCCCGAGCCCACCGAGCGAGAGCTGGGCTGACACACGGGCACCGGTGAGAGCTCACCCAGGAGAGGAACAGGCTGACTCCATCAGATCCTGGCTGGGAACCGCGGACACAATGGTATCTTAACCCAGCGGGTGCAAGAACCAGATTCCCTTAAAGAACCAGATTCCCAGATTCCCGCTGACCTGGCTGGGAACCGCAACCAGATTCCCTTAAAGAACTAGATTCCCTTAAAGAACCAATTCCCTCAAAGAACTACATTCCCTCAAAGAACCAGATTCCCGTAAACCAGATTCCCTCAAAGAACCAGATTCCCTTAAAGAACCAGATTCCCTTAAAAAACAAATTCCCTCAAAGAACTAGATTCCCATGAACCAGATTCCCTCAAAGAACCAGATTCCCGTAAACCAGATTCTCTCAAAGAACCAGATTCCCATAAACCAGATTTCCTCAAAGAACCAGATTCCCATAAAGAACCGGATTCCTGTAAACCAGATTCCCGCTGAGCCCTCAAAGAACCAGATTCCCGTAAACCAGATTCCCTCAAAGAACCAGATTCCCTTAAAGAACCAGATTCCCTTAAAAAACAAATTCCCTCAAAGAACTAGATTCCCATGAACCAGATTCCCTCAAAGAACCAGATTCCTGTAAAGATTCCCTTTCATTCCCTCAAGATTTCCTCAAAGAACCAGATTCCCATAAAGAACCGGATTCCTGTAAACCAGATTCCCGCTGAGTGCGGCTGAGTCAGCGATTGCATAAGGCTGTAGTGCACTTACAGCAGCATGTACAGCATTAAGGGATATATACCCTACACAGTTATCTTACATTCCAATTTCAGTAATTTCTATCATACTAAAAAACAGACCTAGTAAATACCCACTGGTGTAGCCCTAATAACCCATGTGTATTTGTAACTGGAGTAGTGAAGTAATGATTCCGTTTGGCATAGTGATAAAAATTCCCTCCTTTGAGGGTTGGCAGACTTCATTGCTTTTAATTTTGCCCCTTGGAAAGCTGCTTGCAGCTGGAATCTGGGGTGTTACTTTTAAAAATGTACATGGCATTTAGGTTCTTTGCTCATTTTAGGAATTACATTTGTGTTTTACGTCTAAATCATAAAAATCAAGAGCATCAGTAGACCTGTAACATTTTGAGTTGTTACACAGAGAGTTATTTTATGTGATCATATAAAGCATGGGGAGGTTAAGAAGTCCCCAGTGCAGCTGCAGGAAAGGGACAAAAATTGTGAGTTATATTTCTCCTTCATTTTCTCATCCTGCATTTTCAATTTCTGAACAAGGAACTGAGGGGAGATGGTTTATCTTAAATCAGAAATTAAATCATAATGAAGGCTTAGTTTACAAAGCCAAAAACCTCTGTTATTAAACCATTCTTGAGGAAATGGCAGCATTTTTAATATTTGACAGGACTGTACTGGTATTAGGAGCCAGTGTGGTATTTCAGGAGCCATATGTGACACAGCTGTTTTAACGCTCGTTTGATTGCTCCTGGTGCTCTATCAGACTAGCACACTGCATTTTACTGAGCTGGTGGCTGAAACAAACCTGGATGACAAGTATGCAAAAATATTCTGAGACTAAATTCTCAGAGTAGGGCCAGGCACTGTTCTGTGGCACACAGCCCCTTTCCTCCTCCTTCATCCCAGCTCAGATGGAATGGGATGTTCTGTTCCACAACCATGTTTTACAATCACAGCATTACAGAATGGTTTGGCTTAGAAGGAGACCTCGAGGAACATATTGTTCCAATCCCCGGCCATGGGCAGGGACACCTTCCACACTTCCAGGCTGCTCCATCCAACCTGGCCTTGGACACTTCCAGGATGAGCAACCACAATGCCTGTCCTTCCCTATGCCTCACCAGAATCCAAGAATGCAATGAGAGGGAGGTGTCTTTACAAACAAAGTGTGGGCCTGCAGGTAGATTAATCCAAATACTGATAGATGAAAGAAGCAATGAAGGGAACCAAAAATTCCAGAGGAATTCCACTAATTGAAACAGACTGCTGCTTACCCAAGCCCATGATAAATTCCTGGACTTGTAGAAAAAGACCAGGATACACATTAGAAGACTGTATTAGGCGATTTGGAAAGTCTGTACCTCTCAAGTACTTCAGCCACCAGGGAAAGAGAGGGGGAAATGCAGCTGGGAAATCAGGATAAAAAGGAGGCTGCATCCTCTAGCAATTTGAGAGACCCCATGGGAAATGCCCCGTGGCCTCTCCCTTATTCAAATAACGCTACAGAGCTTTACTTACTTCTCAGTCTCCTTTTTGGACATAAGCCTTTGGCACCGTGAATTGATTTCCTGACACTAATCTCTAATCTAACCCTGCTCTCTGTCAGTGTGAACCCATTTCCCCTTGTCCTGTCACTACATGCTCAACTGAACAGCCTTGCCGCATCTCTCCTCCAGGTTCCCTTCAGGCACTGGAAGGCCGCAGTGAGGTCACCCCAAAGCTCCTCTTCTCCGGGCTGAACATTCCCAGCTCTCCCAGCCTTTCCTCGCAGGCGGGGCGCTCCATCGCTCTGGCCACGCTGCCGCCTGCTCCGGGCCCCGCACAGAGCCCGTCTCCAGCCGAGCCGTTCCGGGCCGCGCTCCCAGCCCCGGGGGCGGCACTGGGCGGCGGAGCAGACGCGGAGGGCTCGCGGCCGCGGCGGAGAGCGCGGGCCCCGCCGCCCAGGCCCGGCGCTCCGCGGCCGGCAGAGCTGAGGGCGGGCCGGGCCGGGCGCTCCGCGGAGCCCCTCCTCCGGCGCCACCGCTGTTTCCTGCCCGGCCGGCGGAGAGCCGGGCGCTGCCGCCGCAGGTAGGCGGGGGAGAGAGGGGAGGAGGGAAGGAAGGAGTGGTGCGGCGGAGCGCGGCGCTGGCTCTGTCCGTGAGGGCTCCGCGCCCCGGGCTCTGCCATGGGCCCGCGCGGTTGGCGGGTGCGCCCGCCGGCGCCGCGCTGCCCCGGGGGAGCCGCCCCAGCGCCTGCGGCCGGGCCCGGACCTGGACCTGGGGCTGTGGTTCGGTGCGGCGCTAATGCCCCTAAAGACCTTCAGGCCCCACTGAAGTCCCCTTCCGCTGCACAGAATCCCCGAGTCATTATGGTGGGAAGGGAGCTCTGAGATTACGCAGCCCTCCTGCCAAAGCAGGGCCACCCCGAGCAGCTGACACAGGAACGCGTCTAGGTGGGTTTTCAATGAGCATGCCATTCCTCTTTTCTCCAAGTCACATTGCGGCTGGAGCAATGCTGCAGCAACAGTAAACTTGAAATTAACAGAAAAAAAAATAAAGAAATAGCTATAGTGTAATTAAATTTCGACTATTTCAAAGGATTTATAATTGGATTTTATGCTCAGCCTATTTTAGTCATAACATTTTTAAGAAATTTTAAAGCATTCAGAACATGTTGATTAATGAGATGAAGTTTTATGTTTTTGCAGTGAGTCAGGGAAAACATCTTTAATTTTCAGGCTTATTTCAGGTTTTGAAGATACCACTGCTGTGTGTTGTGCTAATTACCTCTACAGGGGAACAGCTCTGCTATTTGTGTTTGTGACTGTCAGCTCTTTCCTGTTTCGTAACTGAAAGTCTCATTATTGGCTTCAGTATCAGCTAGCTGATGAAAGTGACCTGTGACTTTTTTCAATACAGCCTTCAAAATGGAGAAACTGGCTAGGAAATGGGGGGAGTCACTCTTACTTTATAATTAGAAGGACAATGAAAGAATGAGGTCTGTGGAAATTCAAGGGCTGAGGGAGTTATGGCCAGTCTTTCACAGATGCTTTGTAATTTAGCAGACCAGGTAAGCTGGGTATCCTAAGTGCCTAGACAGGTTAGGTGCCAAATTTCCTTCTGAGAAGGAAATGAGATCGTTCCCACTGAATATTTAGCTGCATTTTTAGGCATCTAAGAAGCTTGTAAAATGAGCTTCTAGATCCCTACAAGTAGTTTGCTGATCTAATGAGTAAATTTGTTACCTCTTGGGTTAAATGAACCTATTAAGTGCTTTGATTATATTACATGCTTTGATAAATACACCGAAGAAAGCAATGCTCTTAAGGCTCAGTTTTTACAAAACTATATTGAAATGCTCTTTTATGCATTTCAATTCAATTCAGGATGTCTAGCAAATAGAAGAGTTTCTTACCATCTCCTCATGTAATTGAAAGTAAAAGAAATCTGAGTAAATATATAGTCAGTAACATATTATTACAGTAAATATTTGTAGATGTAGAGAATCCTCGTGGTTAGGAAAGAAGAGTAACAAATGCTGAGGTGAGAATGGCAGTAAGCATATTTTAACTGTTATGCCACCAAGCAGGAGTAAACCTTTTCTTAGCAAAATAAATGAAAATTGCAAATGCAGAGCAGGTTCAAAACTGGTATATTTACTGGCTGCTGATGCCAGTCATGATTTATATCAGACAGGCCACCTGCTTTCCAGGGTCCAAATACTAGACCAGGCTGTAAAGGAAGGACTTTCAGAAAGTGATGGTTTAGGAGCCAGATGCTGCTCATGCTTGCAGGATGTGTAGGGACCAGTGATGAGATAGTGCTCCTTTGCAGATGGGCTCAGGATCTTGAGACCCTGTCTGTCCACCAGCTGTTATTGAAATTATTGATGGATTTCTGGCCTGTTCAGTCAATCAGGTGATGTTGTCCTGCACTCTGTTGTTTGTGAAGTTGTGTTCTTTAGTCTGTCTCAGTGTGTGAGTGCCTTGTGTTTGGATTTTCTCCAGTTCTGTTCTTGTATTTCTTATAAAAGGTTGCAATTCATAGAGAGCTGTCACTGTACAGCTGAGAAGAAATTGTCACCTCCCATTCTTGTTCATCACCATATGGCTTCCCCCATACGGACAGGCACAGGTAAGAAGATTTATCTGTGTATCTTCACAGTGGGTTTGGAATGTGCTGTGTGGGTGGGATTTTGTGCTGTGTGGGTGCACGTGGCAGAGATGTTCCCTCAGTTCCCTCCATGAGAAGCTGCAAGGAGCAGTGAGGACAGCTCGATGGTGGGGCAGGCTGGGTGCTGCTGGGAATGTCTCCTGTGTGGGCATTTGGGAAGAGGCTCATTGTTCTCTGAGTGGGATAGTGAGTGCAGGGGTAGAAGGGCTTTTGCTTGTCTGAAGTCATCATTTGGTGAAGGGGGAAGGAGGCTGATGAGGTGGGAATGTTAACCTGGGAGCAGCTGAAACGAGGCTCACACCATTGGGTTACCTGGGAGCCATCTTCTGCTGTTGGTGTTAGCAGGACTTTCAGTGAGTTGGGTATGATGTTGTTGTTTTCATTCTTTCTGTGGCATTTTTCTTCTTAAGGAAAGTGCTGGCTGTAGGCTGAAAGTTGAGATGTTGGAACATGATCTCTTTGGAGAGGGAGAGCAGGAGCATTGCTCACTTTGTTCCCCTGCCCTTGGGGAGAAAGGGAGTGAGGGAGCATCAAGTGAAGTACAGAATCTAAGACTTGGGATGAGTATTTGGGGGGACCACAAAGACACAAGGAGAGCAGCCATCAAACTGCAGTAGAACAAAAACATTGCACAACAGTGCTTGCTTTCTCAGCAACTTCATGTTCTGGAACTCTTGGGTTTGGTTTTTCCTTGAGGAGCTGAAGAGTCTCAGTACCATGTGAAGTCAGTAGGAGCTGTGGGGACTTAGCACCTTTGGAAGCTGCACACAATTTTATGGATGTTGACATTTCTATCCCTTCATTAGACCAAAGCCAGTGTTTGACAATTTTGGTGTTTCCTAATGCTTGGGTGAATTCAGTAGGGAACAATTGGTTGCTAGAATCAAATTGCACATTAAGTTACACCATCAGAGTTTGTAAATGTTTTTAGCTGTCGTGTGTACCTCTAACACACAAAGTTTACAGCTCCTTCTGTGCTGTCCTGGGGTAGGATCCTTGCTCCTTTGTGGCACCAGTGGCATTCTGCAACATGCCTGTCTTCCTCTTCTGCTTGTTTGTGATTCTGATCAGTAGGTTGATGTCAGATGCAGCTTTGTGCTCCACGTTCTTGCAGTTGGCTTCTCACAGACCCCACCACTGTGTGAGGTGTTGGAGGTTTGCAGCTGCAGAACTTTATAAACCTTTTCTTTGATTTCCTGAGCGAGCTGGCTGGCTGATGACAGTTATTTAAATTGTTTGTTTGGTAGGGGCTGCTTGTCCCAATAGCAGGTTAAATGCTTCTGTGGTGTCTCTGTTGCAACTTATTAGTATATTGTCAAAATATCCTTTAATGGCCTGAGGTTGAATAAATACCTGCTCACTGAAAATTGCCTGATTGATCATCTTGATTCTTAATTGAATTTTTTCAAAGAATTCCTAATTCTATATGCCACATGTAGAAATCTGGTATTACTTTCCATGTTAGGGCATGGTTTATGTTTCAGTGGCTCCCACTACTGTTCTGTATGTACAGTCAAAAAAAAAAAGGCCAACCTTGTATGTGCTCTGCCTCAGGTACTGTGTTCACTAGTGTTCTCTGCTGAACTTACAGTGAAGATGACAAGAGATCAGAGCAATAACTGTAACAGTTTAGAGGAAATGAGTGCTCCTTGTCAAGTCTTTGAGAGTTTTGAATGTGGTGCTCACATCCTGAATTAAGCAGGACCCACATTTCTATGCCAAGAACCTTTTTGAGTCAAGCCAAAAGAGCCAAAATAAATGTTAATTTTCCAAGTGGAAATTTCATCAGGGGGAGTTGTGAAGGGAGGGAAATGGTCAGTAATTTAGTACGGAACACCTTCTTTCAGTGTCTCAAGTCCCAGTAAATTTCTGCTTTATACTGAGGGTGTTTAATGACTTCCAAATTTGCTTGCCACAGATCTGTACACGACTGGACAGCAGTGTGATTACCACTTGCCTTATGGTCTGGCTATTTTTTAACTTTAGGTCAATTGCTCTTTGAAGGTAGTTATTAAGTAGTATTTTGTTTATCCAAAGAAACCAAGGGTAGCTTGTCACCTTTGCCATGTCACCATGAGGACACCTCGCAGTATTGGCCCTGTGGAGGGTGGTAGTGCAGGTGACTTTGGGCAGCCAGCTTCAACCCAGTGCTGGAACCTGGTGCTGCAGCTGCAGGTGTGTCAGCTTAGAAAACATCATTGCACTTCTGCTCCAGTGAAATTGCTTTAGGAAATGGTAGCAATCCCTCAGTTTGAGGGGGCAAAGCTGATTATCTTACCATCAGTGAGAGCCCTGGGCTGTCAGCTCTCCAGCTTGTGTCATCCCACCCATGCTGCAGAGCCTTCATCCTGGAGGGCTTTGTGTGAGACATTGACTGAATTTAGCCCAGAGAGGAGATGCAAATGGTTTTCAGCACTTTGGGTTAGTCTGAGACATGGCACAGAGGTGAAGCACAAGCACAACTCAGTGTCTGAGAGGAGGGAGTGAATCCTGCAGCACTTCAGCCTGCTCGGGGCTGCTGTGAATGGCACTCTGAGTGGAAAGCTGCTCACCTTTGGTTAGAAAGGTAAAAACAAACACTTAATTGTCCTTTTCCAGGCCTGGCAGTGGGAGCTGTTCCAGTTGTATATTTTGGTGTTTTTTCCCCACTGCTCTAGGACAGGCAGAGCAGCCATTTGTTCATGCCTTGGAGCTTGAGGCCTCTGGAATGAGATAATCTGTAACTCTGGGAGCAGAGTGTGTGGCTCTGCTGTCACTGACCAGCACCCTCTGCCACTCTGAGCCACTGCTGGGTCATCAGCCTGCCAAGAGCCCAAGAGCAGCTGTGGTCAGATGGTGAACTTGGATGTTCCCTTGAGACTGGCACAAAGATGAGTGAAGGAGTGACAGAAATCAACTATTTGATGAACATCCTGCTGGGCCTCTTTGCAGCTATGGAGCATAGGTGGTCCCTTCCCAAAAGCCAGAGCTTTCTTCAGTGCCAGCAGTGCTTGCATCCTGCAGTGACATGGGTGATTTGCAGTCAGCCATTTTGGTGCAAAAGAAAGCTTTCTCTGTTGCAGTAGTTAATATTTAATA